TTTAACCAAACATAATGCAAAAAAAAGCATTACAGTTAAGTGGAAATGATGTCATCACATACAGTAGTGTGGCTATCAGATCGCCAAGCTAACGCTAAGCTAACGCTAAGCTAACGCTAAGCTAACGCTAAGCTAACGCTAAGCTAACGCTAAGCTAACGAAGCCACCCTGTCCTTTTTTCAGTATATCAATAAAAAGACGCCCAAAACCTTTAACCTTCCTTAAACATGAAAGAAAAATGTGTAATTTAAAGTTACTTTAAGTGGTTCAGCCTGAGACTGCAGATACAGATCACTATACTGAGGTTCAAAGACAGAAGCAGCGATCACAGAGCGGCTGCGTTACAGTAAAACATGCGTAAAGTACAGCAGCTGTAAACATCCACTGTAAAAATTTAATACATTTTGAAAAACGTGAAAAACTGTAAATATACTGTCGTGTACTTTTATTTGTGAATACAGTGGAGCTGAATGGCGATGCTTGTAAGGACTAACATTTACAGTCGGCTACAATACAACCTTAAACTGCTGTGGATATTACACTAGGAGCACTGCTAGAAGGCCTTAATGCCAAATAGGAAGAGCACAGGTGTATGATTAAAAGCTTATATGCAGTAGGTGCATGTTGTTTGTAGATTACAACAGTGAAACATTGGAAAATAACAGCATTTACGAGGCTTTTCCCCCAGTTTCTTCTTTAGAAGAAACTGGTATTTGTGGTTATAATAATACTTACACGGCATGTGCTCGAGATTTCTTCTCGCTCCTGTATTTACAGTTAGGATCTAAATAATTTAGAGTCCTGCGTGCTTCCTATCTGGGCCTCATGCTGAGACAAAGCTCCCCCAGTTTCTCACACTACTTCCCTGAACTCTCTCTCATGCACAGTACACACACACACACACACACACACACACACACACACACACACACACACACACACACACACACACACACACACACACACACACTCCTGCACCATACATTAAAACACTGATTCCACCACCCACCCTGCAGTACAACACAAAGAGCTGACGTCCCTCCCCCCCATCCTTCCTGTCTGCTCCCATTGGCTGAAAGGATCAGATGCTGGCAGCGTCTCAGACCAATGAGGCGTCTCCATGGTGATGTCATGGAGGCAGCATCGATGCTGTTGCTGATGCTGTTGCCTGACGCCTGCATCCTTGCAGCCAGACGGGGTAACCGTAGTCACCGGTTCACCATCAGCAGCGGAGAAGACGCCGTACAGAGGGGGGTAAGTCTGCAGCGCCAGGCACACAGCTGCACACATCTGTGTTGCACTGTGTGCCACTTTGGGTTCTTCAGGTTAACTTTCATGGCATGAATGAGCAGTACCTGCATGTGTGTGTAGTCAAGCGTGTCCGTGGGGTGGGACAGGGTGAGGAAGGCAGAGTGATGATGCGGCGGCAAAGGTTCCTGCTGATAGGCGACAGAAAGGGAGCGAACCGAGTGTATCGTCAAAGTGTAGAGCGTGAGACATCATTTATTATTGATTCTCCATATGTCCAAATGCAGCTTTGTGTCTGATTTAAGGAAGGAGAGGCAGACGGAGAGACCGGGGAGAAAATGGAGGGTGTTTTTATGTGTTTGTGCATAAGGCAGAGTCATACCGGCGAGGGTCTGAATTTAAAATGTGCTCAGAACCGTCAGAAGTTCAGATTTGTCTTGGATGGTTGATCAGGTTTAAGTCTGCAGTTTCGTTGCTGTAGCAGTAATCTCCCAGTGAATTGATTAATATACATGCAGAGCAGCTTTGTAGGAGCAGAAAAACATAACAGTACAACAATCTGTAGAGGAGCTCGGAAAGAAAAGCGTCTGGACTTCTTCAAGTTGCTTGAAGACGTTTCACCTCTCGTCCAAAAAGCTTCTTCAGTTCTAGGGTCAAATGGTGGAGAGTCCCAGATTTAAGTCCTATTGTCCCTCTTGGGGGACACTCCCACAGGGGTGATGACCTGGATGACTGAAGAAAACAATCTGTAAAGACTAAACCAATGTCAGAGGAATGTTTTGTCTCCGAGAGTCTGATCAATCCTGGTGTTTGCTATGAAGAATGCTAAGTGATGACACAAGTACAGAGTTATTATTATTAATATTATAATATTAGAAACAAGAAACACAATTACAAGTAGTACATAAAATTCTGCTCCCATGGAAACAAAAAACGTCCTTCTTGAGCTCAGTGCTGTGAAAAATGGAAATGAGACGACTGCTGTTAGAAAAGCAAATATCAGCTCAAGTACAAATCACAGCTGAAAGAATATGTGTGTTTGTGTTGAGCGTGCTGACCACGCCGATCAGTTTTTATACAGGTTTAATCGACTCGCAGAAATTATCTCAGAGATGAGAAGGATTTGGAGGAGAAAGTGGTCATATATGACCTCTGCAGCTAAACTACTAAATAAATATAGTTTAGTGATGCTGAGAAAGAATATCAAATAAAAATGTACGTGGCACATTTATATAGAGATTTACTGCTGTTAGTAAACACACTTTAGCTACAGCATTCAGCCATACATTCATACTGTGCTTCATTCTATAGACACAAAGCTCTGTATATTACATTTAGAATAACCAATTCATTCATTTAAATCTTATCAAATCAGTGTTCATTAAGTCTGATCAGAAAAGTGCCTTAATATTACTTTTAGCAGGAGGCTTAAAGTCTCTCAGTAAGAAAACCTCTTCAGGCCTGAAACACAGTCGGATACAATCTTTCTTTTTTTACAGGAAAGCCGATCAATAAGTAACTGAATGTCATTTTAATGTTAAAGTGCTGAAAAATATT